GCCCTCCTAACTTCCCCCCCTCACCCTCTGCCCTCAGGCGAGGACAGGACCAGTGACCCCCAGTACGCCCAGCAGGTCCAAGCTCTCCAGGCCAAGCTGCAGATCCTGGACCGGCAGCGGCGGGGGAGAGGGGGCCGGGGCTGGGTTGGGGGGGCCGCGGCCACCCCACACCCCCTGCTCAGGCGTGCGTCTCCCCCCAGGAGGTGCTGGCTCAGATGCAGCAGCTTCTGGGTCGCAGCGAGACCCTGCGGGACTTCCTGCAGCAGGAGCTGGGGGCTTGGCGGGAGCGGCAGCAGCGTGCCTGCCTGGGGGCCCCCACCGACACCCGCCTGCACCTGCTGGAGACCTGGTAGGGCCGGGATGGGAGGGGGACGAGGTGGGGGGCCATGGCCGGCCCCCACTGAGCCCCACGGCACCCATAGGTTCACAGAGCTGGGCCAGGGGCTCTTCCAGCTGCTGCAGCTGCTGCGGGCACTGGGGGACCTGCGGCAGAAGGTGACCTATGAGAGGGACCCGCTGAAGGCAGAGACCCCCCTCCTGGAGCGGCGGCTGCGGGAGCTGCTCTCCTACCTGCTGCAGAGGTGGGGGAGGCCATGGGGGGGGCCTAGGGGGCCTGGGGCTGGGGCAGCCCTGACCCTCCTGGTGCCCCCAGTGCCTTCGTGGTGGAGCAGCAGCCCAGCATGCCCAACGCCTACAAGCGCCCGCTGGTGCTGCGCACGGCCACCAAGTTCTCGGCCCGCGCCCGCCTGCTCGTCCGCCTCCACGACCGCAACCACCGCATGGAGGCCAAGATCCACATCGACAGGTTGGGACCCGCGGGGGTGCACCCCCCTGCCCGGCCGCGGGGGTCCCAGGGTCCCACTCCTCGTTGATGTCCTGTTGTCTCTTGCAGGGACCCCCCCAAGATAAAAGGGTGAGAGCCGAGTGAACACTGGACGCGGCAGGCAGGGCCATGGCCCCCCTGGGGGTCCTGGCCTCCCACCCGCGGCCTCTCTCTGCCCCGCAGGTTTCGCAAGTTCAACATCCTGACCTCAAGCAGCAAAACCCTCCTGGCAGGGGACAGTCCCCAGGACGGGCTGGTCTGCGACTTCCAGTACCTCGTAGGTGCCCCCCTGCCTGGAACCCTGGGTCCTCCATGGGGTGGGGGAGCGGGGCAAGGACCCAGCCCCAGCCCCAGACTGACTCTCTCCTGCCCTGCAGACGCTGAAGGAGCAGAAGGACAGCAGGTCAGGCAAGGGCAGCAAAGGCACCGGTGAGGTGAGTGCGGGGCTGGGGGCCATGGGGGCATGGAGACGGCTGGTGCCACACGGTGCCCACAGTGCAATCTCTGTGCAGGGTCCCCTGGTCGTGACAGAGGAGCTGCACCTCATCACCTTCACGCTGGCGTACGCCTACTGCGGGCTGGAGCTGGAGCTGGAGGTGAGGGCTGGAGACTTTGGGGGAGGCTGGGGGGGGGGCTGGGGTCTGCCAGCCTGACGCCCTCTCCCCCCACAGACCTCCACGCTGCCCTTCGTCATCATCTCCAACAACAACCAGCTCTCCAGCGCCTGGGCCTCCATCCTCTGGTTCAACATGCTCAGCAGCGACCCTAAGGTGAGTGGGACCCCTCCCCAGCCCTGCACCACTCCCCACTGCACCCAGCCCTGCCATCTCTGCTCCCATCTCCCCTTCCCTGGTCCTAGTCTCCTGTTCCCATCCGTGCTCATTGCCCAGTCTCCGTCCCTGTGTCCTGTGCCTGTCCCTTCTCCTGTCCCCAGCCCCTGCCCTGTCCCATCCCCATCCCCTGGTCCCTTCCTGTCCCTGTCCCTGTCCCCTGCCCTGGTGCATGTCCCTGGCTCTTGCCATGCATCCCCGGCCCCGCTCACCCTGTCTCCCACAGGAGCAGCAGTTTTTCTCCGCGCCGCCCCTGGCACCCTGGCCCCGGCTGGCCGAGGTGCTGAGCTGGCAGTTTGAGAGCGTGGCTGAGCGGGGCCTGAGCAAGGACCACCTCCTCATGCTGGCCGAGAAGCTCTTCGGTAAGGCTGGGTGCCAGCCCCAAGCCTCCTGGGGCTGGGACGGGGGCCGTGCTGCCCCCCCTCACCCTGCTCTTGCCTCAAAGGCTCAAAGCCATCTGTGGAGAGCACCCTGGCCTGGCCCAAGTTCTCCAAGGTGAGCGGTGCCTGTCTCCCCTGTTGCCCCGTCCACCCGTGGCCCCATGGCACCATCCCCCACCCTGGTCCCCACT